ATATATATATATATATATATCGCATTACCGTTACCGGTCCAGGTTGTCAACTTACTGTCCGATTTGGTAATGCAATATATAATTTGTTATTGTTTTATAGTGCTGATTCAATCACCTGTTAACAATTAATGTAATCAATAGTTTGTAAGCTATTTAATTACTTTTATAAAGTGTGTGTGTGACAATACTCATATATATATATTTTTACCAAACTGTTTATCTACAAGAAGTTTGGTAAATAAAGAACAGATTTGAGTTTTCTTATACATGTTATTTTTGAAGTGAGACCAACTTAAATTACAATTTAAGATGTAACAGTACCTTTGCATCTTCATCTTCAGATTCAGAAGAGCTTGATGAACTACCTGAGTCAATGGCTTCATTTCCATACTTGTCTTTCACTAACAGAAAAGAGACAAAGTCAATATTTAATACTCAGTTTGGATTCTTAATATCAGATTATGATTAAAAAAAAAAGGTTATTGAATTCAGCAACCCAACCAAAAGTTTTGAAAATAGTTAAAAATGGAGACATCGCTCTAAAATGCTAAAAAAAAATACCAAAAATAAAAGCTCAAGAAACCATAAAGCCACAGAAATGTTATTTACTATAATCCATGCAATTACTTTTGCAAGAGGAGGGAGGATCCCCTCCAGCTATAACTCTGGGTCCTCTGTGTACACCTAAATTGAATGAATATGTAAAAAAACGGCCAAACATAATACACATAGAAAACATATTCTGTAATACAGATTACAGACTAAAAGGTTGTCTTACATCAGCATTTTCTGCTATCAATAATATTAATACACAAGTGTCATTCAGGGGACATTTTCATACACACACACTCATACTTTATGATGTTTGAACATTATCTCAAAAAGGCATTTAAAAGAATTAGTACTGAAGATTCTGAATTTCAAGCTTAAGTACATTGGGCAGATTTTTCACTTAATATTGATATTTTAATTGGGATAAAGTCTGACAAAAGAAGCTTCACAAAATCATTTACTAAAATGTATTGTAAAAGACAGATAGATTCAAGAAAGGGAATTCTTACCTTACTAAACTTTTCAAAGCTAACATAGATTCACCAAAGGGAAATCTTTCCTTACTAACCTGTTCACAGCCAACATATATAGATTCATCAAAGGGAAATCTTTCCTTACTAACCTGTTCACAGCCAACATATATAGATTCACCAAAGGAAAATCTTTCCTTACTAACCTGTTTACAGCCAACATAGATTCACCAAAGGGAAATCTTTCCTTACTAGCCTGTTCACAGTCAACATATATAGATTCATCAAAGGGAAATCTTTCCTTACTAACCTGTTTACAGCCAACATATAAAGATTCACCAAAGGAAAATCTTTCCTTACTAGCCTGTTCACAGTCAACATATATAGATTCATCAAAGGGAAATCTTTCCTTACTAACCTGTTTACAGCCAACATATAAAGATTCACCAAAGGAAAATCTTTCCTTACTAGCCTGTTTACAGCCAACATATATAGATTCATCAAAGGGAAATCTTTCCTTACTAACCTGTTTACAGCCAACATATATAGATTCATCAAAGGGAAATCTTTCCTTACTAACCTGTTTACAGCC